GTTCCCCTGATACTTTTACAAAAATTCCGAATTTTTCACCTTCAGTGAAAATTTCAGTGAATAGCTCTTCGATTGTCATGTTCTCCTGATACTTTGACAAAAATTTCGAATTTTTCACATTCAGTGAAAATTTCAGTGAAGAGCTCCTCGATTGTCATGTTCCCCTGATACTTTTTCTAAAATTTCGAATTTTTCACTTTCAGTGGATATCTTTTCGAGTTTTAAGTATTATATTTTGAAAAAAAAAAATGAATGACGGCGGGATCGAACCCGGGCCGTCGGCGTGGTAGGCAAGCACGTTACCGCTAGGACAACGCGCTATTATAATAATAAAATTTCATTAGTAGTATATATATTGCAAAAGTTTCGTTTAAAAAATGTTAAATTGTTCAATTTCACTGCATATCTCCTCGATTATCAAATATTCAGTTTTTAAACAATATTTCGATTGATTTGCCATTAACAAAAAAAAAATTGGAATTATTTAAAAAAAAAAAAATGAATGATGCCGGGATTGAACCCGGGCCGCCGGCGTGCCAGTCGAGCACGTTACCACTAGGACAACGCGCTCATTTAAAAATATAAACTCATTAGTGGTATATCTTCAACCTATTGAATAATTTTTTCCATTGAAATTCCACAAGATGTGGTTTCCCCCTTCCGTACGTGCTACAGTCGGCTAAATTTCAGTTAAACAAATGAAAAACAAAAAGCTTTCGTACAGCAGAAAATAAAATTCACGCAGTGATGCAGAGAATTTCATAGGCTTAAAAACGTTATCCAATGTAAATTCTCGACTTCTTCATAAATTCGTACAATTTGAAGATGTATTCTTATTTCATATTATTGTGTTTATCAAATATTTGTTCCTTTCAGTTTCAATAAAAGATTCATTATGTTCACGTCATAAATCTGCCTCATTTTATTATTTTCATAATCTGTATGATTCTGTATCATCTTTAATTAGAATGTCTATTATAATGACTTTTGTTAACAAAAAAAATGGCTTCAGTCGTCTTTTCAATTGCTATGAATAATTGATTTTTTTTTAACCCCCAATATTTATTTTTATTTTCCTGAAGATTTTTGTTATTTGTACATATTTTTATTATACTTTCGTTACTCAACCAGACACGAGGGAATCTATTGTTCCAGTCATCTCGCTGGTATATGAATAGATAATTTTTTAATGTTCTTGTGACTAACGCAGTGCTGAAAGGCGGCGATTAGTAGTTGTCGAAAAAAAAACGCGTTCAGTCGTAGCTACATGTTTGGAAGATTGAGTTGATGTATTTTCAGTAATTAGGTGGAAAAGAAAAAAAAACAATGGATGGCAAACGCAGAAACATTTCAAATCTGCCCGAAGACTCGCCAGACAAGAAAATCCGAAGACAAAATACTCCTGCCCAAGAGAATCATGGAGAAAGTTCTACAGGTACAATTGTCGAAAGATTGGTGACTATTTGGAAAGCACAAGCCAATTTTCCTCCAGTATTCACTCAAGAGGTATCAAACGCCATTTTAAATTTTTTTTATCATCACATTATTATTAATCCATGACTCATTATAACCCTTAACAATTTTTTCAGGGTTCTGATGTAATTACGTTGAAACAAATTGAACAAAAATGTATAAGTTTAGAAAAGGTCAACAAAGAGCTGCAGATGAAACTCGCCTCATCAGAAGCAAATGTCGTGAAATTAAAAGTTGATTTGATAAATGAAGGTTCCCAGCAAGAGCAGCTCATAAGTAAATTAAACACAGTATGGGATTACATGAAGAGTATCACTGAAACCATCAATTACGTAACTGAAACAATGGATGAAACTAAGGGACATACTGAACATCTTAGGTCTCAATACAATGAGGTAATTGTTAAGGTGTATGCCGACAATGAAATTCTCATGTCTGAGGCAGAGCAGTTCAACATAGAAAAGATCAATCATACTGAGGCACTTCGACTACTCGCTCAAAAAGAATGTGAGCTAGTTGAATTGAAACCAAAGTATCAGATTCTCCACGTTGAAGTCGAGAGTTACAAGAAGAAACTTGAGGAACTTGGAGAGGACCAGAGTCTCCTTCAGAAGAAAATCGTTGAACTTGAAGTAATTGCAGCGGAAGAGAAAAGAAGGCTGGAGTTTTTGTGTGCAGCAGAGACAGAAAAATTGAATGAACAACGACATCTCCATGAGACTGAGATGCAGAATACTTTGAAGGATCTCGAAGGGCTTAACGAAAAAATTGAAAAATTGCAGGAAGAGAGGAACGACGTTTTTCGGTTACTGGCTGAGAAAGAGGAGGAGATGAAGAATTTCAAACAGACTGTCGATCGATACAAAACAAATGTAGAGGAATTGAAGATTCAACTGACCGAGAAATCTGTCAGTTTTCAACGGCTAAATGATGAGAAGGCGAAGTGTGAGGGAGAAATAATGGAGAAAAACACACAGATGTCTCAATTTATGCAACAATTGGAGGCAGTCAAACTGGATTTATCGAGGAAGACAGCTAATGTGACACGTCTGGAGCAGGCGAAACTTGAGTTGGAGCAAAATATTGCAATAAAAGAATTTGAATCTCAGGAGACAGAGACGAAGTGTGGTCAAGTGAAGATACAAATGCGAAAAGAACTTGAGATGCTACACGACAAGTTGTCACAAAAAGTTGTGCAAGTACAAGAGCTTCAGCAAAAGGTGAACGAGGCTGAATCCGTGAAAGAGTCCATCTTAACTGAATTATCGAATTCTAATGTCTTACTGCAAGCCGCCCAGAGGGAAAATGAAGATATTAAACATAAATTGACTTCAAGCAGTTCAAGTAAGGATTTGAATAAGCAATTGGAAGAGAAACAACTTAAATTAACTGCAGAAAATCAAGAATTGAAAGAGAAGTACAAAGATATGGAGGATAAATATCAAAAAGAGATATCAGCTTTTAAAAACAAGTCTCAAAAACTGGAATTAGAATTGGCTAGTGTGAATAGTAAGCTTCAACAACTTGAAGAATTTAATGAGCATAATCTCAAAGAGAGGGCAAAATTCAATGAGCAATTCACTATATCAGAACAAAAGTTGAAACACATAACGAAATCAGATGCTCAACTAAAAGAAAAGCTGCAGATAGCAAGTCAAAATTTGAACCTAGCTGAACAAACAATTCAGAATTTGAACCAGAAAAATCAGCAATTAGAACTCAAAAACAAAGAAATTATGAGGACAGAGCAGAAAATGGGATCTGTTGAGAAGAAAGCTGATGAATTTCAGCAGAAGTACTTGGATGCAGAGTACTTCGAATTAGATGCAGCTAAGCTCAGAGTTCAAGAGATTGATAATAAACGGTTTCTCACAAGCAGCGAATCTTTCCAGAAGCAGCAGAAGGATCTAGAAGCATCAGAGAGGAGAGCCCGAGACTTTGAACAGAAGTATTATGCTCTACATGCATTGCAAAAAACAGAGAAGCAGAAATTCGAGAAGCAACAGAGACTGCTCAAGGAGACTGAAAAAAAAGCTCACGAGTTTGAGGAAAAATTTAGACGGCTCGAAGTTGACGGATTGGAGTTTAACAAAAAATTGAGTGGTCTTCAGCGTTTGGATCCTCAGCTGTTATCGCCATCTTCTTGGAAAACGAATTATCCGGTGAATGCTAAGAGAGTCACTATTGTTTCAGATAAGGTAATTAATGAAAATTTTTTACGTGAAATTGCTGCAGGGATTCTTTGGAATGTTTCGAATAGGAATATTTTTTTTCTTCAGGCATTGCCTCTAAGTACAATTACGTGTATGCCACCACCACCACCACCATCACCCACGACGAAGGCACCAAAACCGCCAGTGCGATCGATTCTGAAGACTGTTTCATCAACCCCAAGGGTTTTTCAAGTGCCAGTGTCACAGAGGCCCAAGCGAGCTATTAGCCCTCCTCAATCATCAATTGATTTATCTATCAACCCAGAAAAATCCATGCGGCTACCTGATGAACCATCGCGTACCTCCTCCCCCGACAGTTCTGAAATGATTGTCGATAATGATTTTGATATAACCGTCAAGAAAATCTTGGAAACTTTATCACAAGAGAAGTCAAAGTCACCCAAGCCGATGACGACTTCTATAAAAAATCCCAGAAAGTTTTTTAAGAACAGAGGATCTCAGCGAAATTAAAAAGATCTTTCATCGTCAAATTTCAGTCGAAAATCCATACGTAAATATTTTCGTACTGAAAATATAATATCGAGTTAATTTTCAAGTGAATTATCCGAGTTTTCATAATTGAAAATACGATGATATTCATAATTTATAGTAATAATAATAACAATAATAATAATGACAATAATAATACTAATAATAATATCCTATGATGATTTTGCTGCAAATTATTTCATAATTTGATTGCATTGAAAGCATTTTTAATGTGATATACCAGGTCCTAGCCGTACGTTCATGGGCAATTGCGCACGTTCATGGAGAATTAATACTTCAGCGCTGAAAATAAATGATTTAATTATATAATGGAATCGAGGAGTTGGCCGATGTTTTTTGTTATTTTAATTTTAAAAAAGGCGACCGCTGCCTCTTCCTCTAAAACAAATCGATCAATATTGATATCATTAAAATTGAGAAACATTATGAAAATTGAGCAGGTATTCACTGAAATTTGAAAATAGGGAAATTTTCAAAAATATATCAGGGGAGCACGGAAGGGTGTGGTGCCCTCTCTCTCTTGGGGTGAAGTACTATCATGCCAGTGTATGCAAAAAAAAAAATTTTAACATATTTTGGAATGGAAACCACTACTAGCGATCCTCTGAGCATCAATGATAGCTCATGAGAATATACACATAATTATCGACTGAGTTCAGTAGCAAAAACAAGTGGAACTGAGTAAAATCCTTTGACTTCGTACATATACAGTGTTAAGGGAATTTCGTTTTAACAAATTATTATTTCCTTATTTCTCTAGATCTCTAAAGTATCTCAACTTTAATAATACGTGTGAGTAAATTTACCATAAGCAATTACCACGAATGACAATTAATATTGCATTACCTTCAGGCATAAATAATTCAATCAGCTCGACAAATTCACGGAGTTAACCTCATTGAATATAAATGCAATCCAAATTGCCGATTTAATTTTTTTTTAGGTATTCAAACCTGGAACATGAGCTACCACCGTGGAGGTGGTAACAAGCCAAAAGGCTTTGGCTTCACTGGCTTCCAGATGTCGGGGACAAAGAGAACTGGAGTTAACATCCCACCCCCATCGACAAATCCTTCGTTAAGTAAGCAAGGATATCATACTATGAATTCCATCACTGAAAATGCACTCTCAGCATGCTGGGGGATGCCCAAAAAACGGAGCAAGACTGAAGAAGAGTGAGTAATATCGTCACTTTATTGCACACGATATCTCAAATGAAATCTCCGCGAATTTTATTTTTCAGCATACGATACGATTATTTAGTCATTTGCAATTATCAAATACTGCGATTTAGTAATTCACTAAACGTATAATTTAATTTTTTGATTTTATATCGAAAACTTGCAGATACTTTGAAGACGATGACGAAGCCCAGACGTCGACCTTAGAGTACATCCCTGCTCCAGGATCTCCAACGTTCGATAGAATGCAGAGAGAGCAGCAGAAGCAAGGAGAAAGTGACAGCGAGGAAGATCCTCTTGATGCTTTCATGGCTGGGATCGATGCAGAAGTTAAGAAGAATAGTACTAAAGCAACGACGGCTGAGGAAGAGCTCAAGGAGGACAAATCCAAAGGATTCCGACAAGACATCGACGGTGAAGACGACGAAGAGAGTTACTACAGATACATGGAGGAGAACCCAACAGCTGGGTTAACTCAAGAGGAGTCCGACCAAGAAATTGAATACGATGATGATGGAAATCCAATAGCTCCACCAAAGAAAAAGGAAATAGATCCCCTGCCCCCTATAGACCACAGTGAGATAAAGTATGAAAACTTTGAGAAGAATTTCTACAATGTTCACGAGGAAATTGCCAATTTGAGGAAAGCTCAGGTCGAGGAATTAAGGAAGACCTTGGGAATCAGAGTATCAGGAGCCTCGGTGCCGAAGCCAGTAACGAGTTTCGGTCACTTTGGGTTTGACGATGCTCTCATCAGATCGATTCGCAAGAGTGAATACACGCAGCCAACTCCAATCCAATCGCAGGCAATTCCTGCAGCCCTAGGAGGAAGAGATTTAATTGGCATTGCTAAAACAGGAAGTGGAAAGACTGCTGCCTTCATCTGGCCTATGCTGGTTCACATTATGGATCAGAAGGAATTGCAGGAGGGGGATGGACCTATTGGTTTGATATTAGCACCCACGAGGGAATTGTCACAACAGATTTTTCATGAAGCCAGAAAATTTGGAAAGGTTTACAATATTCAGGTTTGCTGCTGTTACGGTGGAGGTAGTAAATGGGAGCAAAGTCAGGCACTTCAAGCAGGTGCGGAGATTGTTGTTGCAACACCGGGGAGAATGATTGATTTGGTGAAAATGAAGGCGACTAATCTTAGTCGAGTTACCTTTTTGGTACTTGACGAGGCTGACAGGATGTTCGACATGGGATTCGAATCACAGGTTCGATCAATCTGCAATCACGTTCGCCCCGACAGACAAACTCTCCTCTTCAGCGCGACATTCAAAAAAAAAGTTGAAAAATTGGCACGAGATGTTTTAACAGATCCAGTGAGAATAGTTCATGGAGACGTTGGGGAAGCCAACACTGATGTCACCCAACACGTTATAGTTTTCAATAACAATCCAACTGGCAAGTGGATGTGGCTCCTCGAAAATATTGTCGAATTTCTGAGTGCGGGTAGTTTACTCATATTCGTCACAAAGAAATTGAATGCTGAAGAACTGGCAAATAGTCTGAAGCTGAAGGAGTTGGAGGTGATGCTGCTGCACGGTGATATGGACCAAATTGAACGAAATAAAGTGATAACGGCTTTCAAGAAGAAGGAGGTGAGCATTTTGGTGGCGACTGATGTTGCAGCTAGAGGTCTCGACATTCCCCACATCAGGACAGTTGTCAATTACGATATAGCAAGGGATATTGATACTCATACCCACAGAGTTGGTAGGACTGGTCGTGCTGGAGAGAAGGGAACAGCTTACACTCTGGTCACTGAAAAGGACAAAGAGTTCTCGGGGCATTTAGTGAGAAATCTCGAGGGAGCCAATCAAGAAGTGCCCAAGAGTCTCATGGATTTGGCAATGCAGAGCTCCTGGTTCAGGAAATCTAGGTTCAAAGGAGGAAAGGGAAAGAGTCTGAATGTGGGTGGGGCAGGATTGGGCTTCAGGGGAAGACCCGAGGCCTCATCAACCAAGGATGGATCATCTGTCCAGACTCCTAAGGATATCAGTGAGGTGGTGAAGAAATTGGAGAGACAGGGTCCAGGGAGTGATCGGCTTTCTGCTATGAAAGCAGCTTTCATGAGTCAGTACACTTCACAATTCAGGGCATCTTCAGATCACACTTGGGAGCAGACCATCACACCACCCTCGCTTATTATGCCACCACCACCTCCCCCATCAACCTCGACAGATGGCGATAGAGCCAATTATCAAGATATGTCAAATTCCAATCAGGGCGGGTCAGAACGCAAACGAGTGAGGAAGAGTCGGTGGGAATAATTAATTGTGAATATTTATTAAATAATTCTATTGTATTATGGTGTATTGTCGATGTAATTATATCGATTATTAATCCGAATCGAAAGTTTTTTTTTTATGTCGATAAATAAATACTGAATGAGACATTTTAATTTTACCACCTGACCTTTCTTTGCATTCGCCTTGAACTAATGAATCACTCATACCTTCCGAAAGTAAAATTTTATTGCATCAGTACACAGTAATTAATATTATTTACATACGTAACCTTATGTATTGATTACCAAGGATAATTGCCATGGTAATTCAGGGGAATTCAAGTGAATGTTAGTGAGAGATTACTGCGTTTGGTTAATGAACGTATCTACAAAATACAGGATAATAGCATCCAATGAATAATTTACTACAGATTTAGCATTAACCAGAAAACTGTTGAATTGATAGTAAGAAAAAAAAATCAGAATAAAACCATGGGAAATCATTAGCAAATCATTCAGGGCGCCGCTATTTTTCCCCCAAAACAATCGAAGAAAATCTTCGCAAAGTTAATGTATTAGTCAACCGAAAAGAAATAACATCAAATAATAATCCGTAAATCATGAATTTGAATACTTTTGTGTAATGCGCACCCTTTATGATGCTCATAATTGTAATCTAAGACCATATAGTATTACTGAACCACTTAAACAAATAACATGTCATTTGTTGCCACCAAAAACTCTCTATAAAACTGTAAAATTATGCGACGAATATAAAGAAAATGATAAAATTACCCGCAAAATGTAATTCACTGTTCTCAATGTGGAAGTGATCATTAATCATTTTCAGATGGCGGAAAGATTGAGTTGATTGTGCACACACGTGTTCAATAGTCCCGCAAAGGATTACCTTGTCGTTTCCTTACACGTGATGAAGCATATTCAAGGACACGTTAATCGGCACAAAGAATTCATCCCACGTTTTGCAGAGACGTCCAATATGCTCCATTAGTTTTCCATTATCCATTTCAATGGAATCATCAATACAAATGCAAAACGCTATTCACCGTAATGTGAACAAATTCAATCCTCAAAGTTTAATCAGTTTTCCGTTCAGAGGGATGAAAATCCTCGCAAAAACCAGTTTCGACGATAGAGACATAAAACGTTTTATAAACCGTACGAAATAAATCAATGAAACGAATCTAGATCGAGGCTTTCCAGAAAATATCACGGCGACATCGATTATCTGATTGTCCCACGGGGGCCATGAGTATAAAAAGCAAACGAATTATATATATATATATATATATATATATATATAAAGCGCATATGGTATCGGCTCAGTCTTAATGAAGAAATAAGAATTAAGTTTAAAGAAAGAAAGAAAGAAAGAAAGAGAGAGAGAGAGAGAGAGAGAGAGAGAGAGAGAGAGAGAGAGAGAGATGTCGATGCTGAATGATAATGTATCTCAGGATCCATTCGGTGGCATATTTGGAGTGCTCTTTCTCCGGATTTTCTCATTCTGTGTATTCATTGAGTTGATCGATTTTCTCTCGCTGGTTTTAGTGAATTTCTCCATTGCACGTGTATAAGAGCCCGTACAGACTTTTCCCCTCATTCTTCGCTCCTCCGGTGTCATTTTTCTCATCTCCAATTTTTCCGATAATAGCTTCGAGGATTCGCAAGTAGTGGAGGTCTTTCTCTCAGGTTTCCTTCCCTCCTTGTCCCAGGAAAGCCCAGCTGATTGGACACCAGGCGGAGTTGGAGAGGTACTCTCACTAGATGAAGAGCTCGATCTAGTCAAGGAGGGACTCAGTCTGACTCCTTCTTCTCTTTGTTCCTCTTGACATTGGGTGACTATTACCACCGGTGGCTCACTCTTTGCTCTGTTCAATCCATTATTATTTGTGTCACTGTCCCCAAGTAAATTATCATTTACTATAATTTTTGTTATTGATGTTCTCTTCCTCAGTTTCTCCAAATTATCCTTTTGCACCATTTGACTACTGTCTGACTTCTGGAGTATGTCCTTGAGATTCACTGAGCTGTCGTCATCCTTTTGGAGCCTTGGAAATTCGAAGGACTTGCCCTCTACTTCCTCACTACGGATGGCCATCATCTCTGGATAAATATAATTGGGAAGTCGTTCCTTCTGATGAGTGGATTTTGGAAATCGAGAGATTGTAGCTGGTTTCGAAGTTTTCTCGATTGATTTATCATCTGGCTTATAAGAGTCCCTAGTGATTTGGCCAGACTTGGCGACGTTAACGCAGTGTTTGTATTTGTCGTCAATGGTGGAGAAGTCCGCCGATGTCCAGTGGAGCTCTTCGTCTTTGACTTGTGTCAAGGCAACCGTTGAAACCGTTGAGGGACTTTTGTCTGCAGGTCTTTTGTCATTACTCCCAGACTCCTCGTTATCTTCATTACCCGAGTCGTTGTCAAAGTCTTTAATCAACCCCTCGTTCTTCTCGTTCTGCTTCCTGAGCTCCTCCCAATTCTTTCGTGGTTTGTAACTCGTTTTTCTCCTAACAACCATTCCACGCTCCGTGATATTGATGTCAGGAATAAAGAGTCTCAGAGCTTTCGGACCTGTTGGAAACGTCACCTCGTTCACTCTTTTTTCTGTCATAATCGCCTCTAAACTGGTCTTGGAGGCAACTTCTTGATGCTTATTGAAGGCAGACACTAGTTGAGCGACGGAGTATTTCGGCTCGTCGGTTTCAAAATCAGACTGTTCTTCTTTCTCATCGGAATTTACCGAATTGTTAGAGTGCGAGGAAATGTTCGAGTGCTGCCGCTGGGAGGGTTGTTTTACTGATAGCCTTGTCTTATCAATGGGTGTCTCATCAGAGTCCTCAGTTAATGTATCAGACTCGACTGATTGCAGGCTGTCAAGATTCTCCTCTGCCTCGGAAGTCAAGTCCTTCAGAGTAACTTGAATGATTTTTTCGTTAGGTTCCTTCGACATCTCATCGTTTTCACATTCCGGCGATTCTGATTTCTTCGAATGCTGATCATTATGACTAATTATTGGGAGTTGTTGTTTTGATTGTGGAGCATCAGGGATTTTCTCCGAATTTCCACAATCATCAATAGCTCCAGTCGATGTGGAAATTGTGTCAGATCGGAGTTTATTGGTGAAGGGAAGATATTCGGTGACTGATCGTTGATTTTTCATCTTTATTTTTCTTGAGTTCCGGAGGCACTCAAGACTTCGGTAAATATCCAAAACCCCTTGGGACTTTGAGAGACATTTCAATCCGTAAAGCTTCTCCTGGGATCTACTCCCGAACAGGGGATTGTATTCTTTTTGTAAAGCAGTCTTTCCACTGTTTAGAAGGCAAGCCTGCGATTGAATTTGATTGAGACTGCGCATTCTGGAAAGGAGTCCCCTGCGTGCTACATTATTCAGATTAGCTTGAGATCGACTCTGTGCCTGATTAAGAAGACCTTGGGTTTGTTCCTTGTTCAGGAGATAGCTCTGACTTACTGCGAGACTATTTTGAGAGGAGGCGAGGCTGGTTTGAGAGTCTGCCGGACTCATATAGCACTCGCTGCTGATCAAGCTACCTCGGCTACTTGTTCGAGATAGGTTCAGGCACATTTCACTCTGGCTGAGGTGACTGGCGAATCTAGGGTCCACCGAAGGTTCGCTCAAATTTGCGTGACTGGTTGCTTGGCTCAAAAGAATTGCTCGCCGTAAGTTTTCGCGGCTGACGACGCGTTCCAGAAGGACCTCACGGGACTTGGAGAGGTACTTCCTCAGATGTGGAGAGGCTTGGGTTGGGGCACCTCGCAGCCACTCATGGCGTAGGCATTGTTTCGCTGACATCCGTGCACTGGGTTCAATTTCGTACAATTTGTTTCATTATTAAATGAAAATTATTAAATGGCAAATAAAAATAGTGAAACATTGATTTGTGCCAATAGTTAAACTGCAAGCTGACGGTAATCAGTGACATTTGATTTTTGTTTTTGTAATCTACATAATTATAAGTGATTGATTAAATTTTTTATAGGGTGATAGTTTTTCCTTTGTGTTTACCTTGGGTCAAGCACGAGAAGCCTGGCGACAAAGTCTTTCGCCTGCGCTGAAATATCTTCGAAAAGTTCCTCGGGAAAATCGACCTCTCCCAAAGAAATATTCTGGAAAGTCTCTTGATCTGTTTCACCACCGAATGGGGAAAATCCAGTGAGAAGGACATAAGTTGTTACTCCGAGGGACCACATATCTGCAGCCAGAGTTATCGGTTCGTAGTGGAGGATTTCAGGGGCTGTAATCAATAATGTCAATCATTCATCTCTATGTGAGAGAATTCGTCTGAATTCAGTCGTGAAGTGGTGGATAACTAGGCCGAGTGAATTTTTTTCAAGGAGAGCCCAGGGTATAAAAAATACGGTTATAAAAAATAAAAGTAAGTTATCAACTTACCAACATAGTCTGGTGTTCCTAGAATCTCTCTGACTTCAGTTCCCTCGAGCACTACCCTTGATATCTCAAAGTCACAAAGCTTGACATCACACTCAGGAAAACTGCCCATCATTACAAGATTCTGAGGCTGAGAAGAATATTTGAAAAAATAAATTGGCGGATAAAAATGGTATGATCCCAAGAGCAGCAATTAAATGGGAACTCTTGAGAATCGCTGAGAGTGAAAAATGTGTTGCATATGGGTCGGACCAATTTGGGGAAAAACCACTTGTGTCAAAGTTGCTGTGGACTATTAACCGAGTTTTCAATCAATGCGCCAATTGCAATGAGATTAATCGTTATTCCCTTGAATTTTATGGGAATGTATGACTCTATACATAAATTTTATTAAAAATTTCTCGCCACCGTGCTGTCTTTACTAATTAAGTAAAATTATCTTGGTCTCACAACCAACCAAATAATAACAAAACGCGGAAAAATAAATCTCAATCTCAGCAGTTCGATTTTTATGTTAAACGCGTATGAAAGATAAAAATGAAACAAAAAAAAAAATTGATAATGCGCTCATTGAGGTTTGCTGGGCGGTAATATATGGTTAAGACCAGTTTTCCAACAGCATTGGATAATAATACCAGTTATCACAGTAGTCATTCGGTGTAATAAATAATAATCCGCCTTTCCATGTTGTTTAATACGAGTGTTGGATTTTATTGAATTTGATCATGTAATCTTCCTACGGGAATCAAAACACACTTTATACACTTTTCAGGTGAGGATGTGGAGTATGCACGTGTGAGTAGACCTGAATTTATGAGAATAAATTTTCGAGGTGAATGTGTTGTTGCGCTGATTATTTCTATCTCTCGAGTTATCATTTATCAATATTACGAGGCTATTCTTAGGCGCCCAATATCGTTGATCTAACAGGGAGGAATGGTCTCTCCAGGTCCAGCATATTTAGCTTGTGTGTGCCAAGAATACAAAGATTTCACAACGTGTTTTCCTCTCGTTGAGAGGCATTGGAGTGGGTCTACTTCAGTTTTAGTCGACAGGTCTGAGAGAGCGAGGGAGGGAGAGAGAGAGAGAGAAAGAGAGAGAGAGAAAGAGAGAAAGAGAGAAAGAGAGAAAGAGAGAAAGAGAGAGATATGAGAAAAGGGTGATTCACCCTCACTCGATTTGTAGGAGGCATGGCACGACCAATCTGCTTTAATTATCGTATGGGAGCGAATTAAAAAAAAATCTATAATAATAATCCTTAATTATTAAATAATTTTTTTCATATGCATTGTGATATGAGAGAGGTGGATTATATTGAGGGGTGACTTTCACAAATTAATTTAAAACTGGCTGTTGTAATCGACCTCAACCGCATTACTTTTCTTTCTCTCTGTCTCTCAAAATGATTAATTTTCCCCCCGCAATTTAAATTAGCGGTGAAAATCAAAAGCTCATTCGACAATAGCGGGGGGTTTATTATAGTATTATTTGGAGCTCCGGCGAATTAAGCAAGTCGAATAAAGGCATGCATGTGGAACGGTAATGGTTGCACAGCAAAAATGGAAATGAACTTGGTGTTGTTCGTGTAGCAGGTTGAAAATACAAATGGAATGGGAATATATATAATTTTCTCCTCGGTAAAAGCCTCCTGACGTGTTTTCAGTTTGACCATAAATCGTATACTATGCTGGGTCGAGTCATCACTCGACACACTGTCCACTATAAACTTTACTTCAAGATCGCAAGACAAGCAATAATATACTCAAAAAATCAACCTAGCCCAGTCTCGATTAAAAATTTTCAAATATTATTTAATATTATATCTTTAAATGAATAATAGTCGAAAAATGACGGAACTCATTTCTCGCCGATTTTATCTCATTCCTCCTGATATTCTCGATGATTCGATGTTCTGTGTACTTACATAAATCACAAATATGCAGATGACAACATGGGATTGTCATAAATTGGCAAGGCGGAATGCCAATGAACGGAATCATAAAGTGATAAAATCTCGCTGGAGAGAAACGATAATCAAAGATTTGTTGATGCTATTTGTTACTTGTTATTATTTTGCTGGACTCTGGTCGCATGTATTCAAGCTATTATATCCCTGAATTGGAGTTTATACGAGCCTTTATCCAATGCGGGCACAACCGTAGATGGAAATTCAATCTGTTTACGAGCGTTGTTCTTATCGCTCATCATTACAGGCATCACCAATGCATAGGTATATAAGTCTCAGGCTTTTTTTCATACGAATTTTAGATACATTTACCCTAAATTTTTATTACGAATTAATAAAGAATTAAATTTCTATTAGTTAAATAATAACCATGGTGATCAATAGAAATTGAATAAAATAAATTTTCTCATCCTTTTGGCGGTAGGTTAAATTCACGAAATTCCATGGTATTTTTTTCAACGGCTATACTGTTGAATTTTTCATATCGAATACCGAAATTAATGAAGTTACGCCTCTCTTTGGCTTGAAACGAAAAAAATAACTTGATATAAGGAACTCGTTATGGCAAAACAAGATTTTCTGGTGCTTTTGGAATGGAATTTTTTGCAATATGATACGAAAATAAGGAAGTGGATGTTATCGGTCATAGTCGGGTACATACAAAAAATCAAGTTTGACTTTCACGTCTGGAGTGTTACCTTGATGTCCAAATGAGCGATATTTCTCTGGTGGAGGTAGGCGAGTCCCTCACCGAGCTGCTTCACGAAATGAACAACATCGCCTTCCAGTGGCACCAAGTCACCGTCGATCAAAGTCTGCAGGTCTCCACCAGGTGCACTAATTAAATCAATTAGACAATCGTTTTTTACTCAAAAATAATAATTCAAACTTTCACTCTACTGAATTTCTTTTCAGCAATGGAAAATTTATATGTATATAGTCATTATTACTCGTCTCTTCTCTCTATTATCGATAAATTCTACATTTACATTGAGGTTGGCAAATGATTAATGATTTTTAATTTTTTAACATGCCTGGGAAAAATGCGGAATAAAAATTGACAATATTGAATTACTCACTATTCCATGACAAGGATTATTTCTTTCGGAGTTTCGTAGACATCATGGAGCCGAATGACTCTGGGCGACTGGGAACACAGGGATAATAATGCTATTTCGTGTCGCAATTCTGCACTGCAATCAGTGTTGAATCGATTTCGAGATGAATATTTTGCAGCATAGAGGGTACCTGTTGATCGCGATCTGCAGCGATAAACTTTTGCCCATTGACCACTAGAATGACATATTACAAAATTGATACAAATACAAGAGAAAATGAGAAAATTGTTAATAATTCACTATTGAGGAAAAATATATGTTTTAGTGGACTGATCCAAAAACTAGCGGAATCTCCCCAATATAATATGAATGAAGTTGGAATAACGATGAATTCAGTCCCTGAATAAGCCGGGAGCATTAAAGTACTTTCATGTTTAAAAATTTCGAATGCGAATCCAAGCGTTTCACCAATGAAGGTCAGGCGCCGCGGCGCCCCGCCAAGGCTGCGAACAGTATGTGCATCATCGTTTTATTTCCTCACAAATAAAATCCAAAATAAAATGAATGAGTAAAGAAATTTATATCAAGTAGCATGTCCGAATTTACATCCGGATTTTCCTCCCTTAATCTTGAGTTCTCTTTTCATGCATTAGTACTCCAGGCATTATATATCTTACAGCAAATGATAATCCAATTGCATTTATCCTTTGTGATGATGTGAAAATCATTTTCAAGGCAATGCCTTTTAATTTGATATGCATTCCAGTGAAGCTTTTTCAACGATTTATTGCTGATTTACGGGAAAATTAATTGTTCTAATGGGATTGTGAAAAAAAAATTGAAAATAAAAGACACTATTTGATGGTCTGGATTCATTAGTTGAACTAATTTAATTGAAATTTCGTGTCGTGTTGGTCTCTGCGGATCTCCAAAAGTGTTTCGGAAAAAGTCGACTCTCCTCGGCTGACCTTGCAAAGTTTCTCCTCACTGAGTAATTACCGGAGTGTTCGCTACAGAGCTGTTTATTATTTGTCGGGATCATTTTTTCCGTTAATATTTTGTACGACTCGTGAATTGAACAGAAACACATAGATACAAAAGCACGAAGAAAAAAAAATCATAAAAAAAATCAACGTCTCAGGCAATTTGTAACCGTCCTCTCCGCCCACATTAAAAATCGGAGAACCTTTTTGCCCACACGTTGTCTAACGGAGAGCACAGACAAGTGGAAAGTAAGACGAGGCATTTCAACACTACTAATGATTTTCGACGAGTTCTCGATTATCGATCAATGCCCATTGGTAAATAAATAGAATCATTCATTCCACTTTGTTTTTTTTTTTTTTTTTTTTTTGATTCGCCGGTGGGTGAACTTGAAGGTACGATTCGTCAAGATTGATGACGTCAATGATCTCCAATACCTGTCGTAATAATACCACTCAATGCGATTTTTTATTGCCATGATTTCTCATGAACACTTTTGTTATGGAGATCTCAAGAATCTTATCATAATAATTCGATTATTTATTCAGAGAATATTCCATTGAGTGTTTTGAAATTTGAGGGGTTTTCTCAATTTTAAAACAGACAATGAGTTTCCATGTAATTGGAAAAGACTGAACAATGTAAATTTCGAAATGGCGGAAAAAAATCAAGAAAATTAATCTTACCTGGCAAATGGTTTAGGATCAATTTCATAGTGCTCAGTAATAGGTCCAGTTTTAACTACTCGAGCGAGTTGGGCTTCCTGAACAAGGATCAAACCCTCTTTGACATGTTTTTCACTCCATTGAACCCGACATCTACCCCGGCAACGTTCTGCTGGCCTGTCATTATCTCTTTTCCCCTTTGAGCTGGAAAGCACCGATGATTTGGTAACCGTCGATTGGAACTTGCGATGTTGAGGCCTCGGTGATGTTTTTCGGGTAGAGGACATGGTCGGGGATTGATGAGTCGACTGATAAATCATTTTTCAATTCCCCGATTCTGAGTCGCTCTCTCACTCAAACACTTTACAATTGATGGACTAATACGTTTATCTTTGTTCAATGGAGTAGGTTGATTAGTGTGTGCATCAGTCGACACTGTTTTCATGAATATTTTTTTTTTGTTTCTCACGAGAACGATCTCTGATTGATTTACACACGATCGCAAACCACAATTACAGTCTCACTTTTCAACCAACATAGGATGTTGCAATGATTTTCTGTGAACTTAAAATTTATGGACAGCATTGACGATCGGCTGTGAAGTGTCACGATCCATTTAAAGATAATGCTCAAAACACGATTGCGAGCTAACGATGTACGCTGTGCGGTTTTTTTTCTTTCGCTTTTTTGTCATTCGCAAACGATTGAGTACCCTCGATTGAGAATTATTATAGCAGAAGTAGGCACGTCAACCAAGTATTCATTTCCTAAAACACGACAATTTTCTCTTAATTGAAGATTTAATTTTCTTGAATTATCAAGATAAATGAAAATAAAGTCAATAAGCGTTCTTGATAGTAATATTAATAAAATAAATAGACAAGAGTCTTGTGGAGATGAAAGGTTTTTATGAAAGATTTTGAAATAGCGCGGATGACGTTATTATTATATATTATAATACCTGGAAAATCTTCACCTTGCCAAGCACTTGAAAACGCTCACATGTTGCTCACCTCCTCACAATTACCTCGAAAATAATAATATTAAACTGGAGAAAGGGATAATAAAAGGGCTCGTTGCATTCTGAGCGATGGAGGCGCGCACGCGTTGCAGCGTATTAATGCCGCCCTTTGCGGTTCACCGCGGCTCTCAAACTGCCACACATTTTCCTCTTCCTCCAACACGGCAACACATCGTCGAGAGGAGTTCGCCCTCCTCGAGTTACTACTTTTGTATCCACGCCATCTCCTTCTCTCTTTCTCTCTCCCTCTCTCGATTTTACGCACCTCTTTAACGTACTCACCATTTTCATCCCACCCCTTCCTTTTCTTCTTTCAGTTTTATACTACCTACATATATAGGATGCATAGAATATATTCCAAGTGGACACTGTGACGTAGGACGAATGGCTATGCATGTGCCGTATGCTAAGCATATCCGAAATAATGTCCATGAGGAAAGTTTATATGAAGGGTGGATTAAATGCAATAACTCTCAATAATATCCACCTCATTACAGCAATTAGGGGAGCTCTCACGATGTATATGACGGCGTATATTGTTGGGTATAATTGGATGGAAATTGCTTCGCGTAGTCGCTAAAGAAACAACTTGGCGGGACAAAGAGTTTAATGTGTGCTCACCTCGAGGGCGCCAATGACCAAACAAAGCCCCATTCCATAGCCATGAGATAGCATTTTTTTCCTCCATTCTTTTAAATCCTTATTTTGCTTAATTCCGGTTTTTAATTGTTAACCAAACGTTTATATTTGTTTTATGTGAGGCCTGTTCGGTTGGCTACTATGAGGGGGTCACTCAAGTCAGTTGGAGGGAGTTGATTTTGAGATTGTCACCGATAAGTGATAAGTGTTGAACGTTTTAATGCGTTAATAACCTGTGTGGGGCTCCTTGCATATCCTTCATCTGTTGATAAAAATCGACCACTAAAGTGCGTGTTCACTTATGTTTCAATGAAATTCCATATTTGACAATTAACGAGTGCTCAGGAACATCGTGATTCTACCCTCATAAACAAGTTTCAAATAAAGTAATACGGTTTAATCTCATTAGAAATCTTGAATGTGCAAGTGTTGTGTATATTCGAATTGGTGTGTTCCTCAGAATATCATTGGTACATAGAGTGTCCCTTTGTTGTTACCATATATTACTACACCATAAACATCATATTGCAAACAAACACATCAAACAAGGTCAGTGTATATTTATGTATCATACTCTGCTACATAATGTTATGATACATCCTCCAAGGGTGTTCAGTGTTCACCATACAACAAACATGTCCAAAAAATATAAATATTTTGCCCCTTTGAATTCACGAGACAAATTGACATGCCTATATATAATAGCCGCATGTACGTGTTTAAAAGGCCTACTTGTAAAAAGTAAAGGAACACTTGTAGTGTACAATGCCTTAACAATTCAGCATTTTTTTTAATTGCCCACCACGAATGCCTTGTACTGTTGGCTGTTTTCCATTTTATCTTGAGCAATTTATTTTTAACAAAATCTTGATTTTTCTCTCAACTATACCTGCTTAATTTTTCCGCACAATAACGGAAATATGTTGGTTCCTTGTCCACACTCCAATCAATACAAGTTAAAGGCAAAAGTAATTAATATAATAGGTTGAATAAATTTTTTCGTCGTTTCAAAGCCGTAAAAGGTCCTCTGTGAAGAGAGTTAGTGATGCATCGGACCACATAAATGTTCCACAACTAGCGAATGGTGAATAATCACAAATGAATACTTTATTGAGAAAGATTTTGCCATTCATGATGATGAGATCAGTGGCTGCGTAGAGCGATGCGAATTGATTTCGGCCATTATGACTCAAATCCTGACTACTTTTTATATAACGATTAACCAGTTCGATCATATCGGCTTCGCAATCAGATAGTGTAGTATTATTATCGGAAATTTTATTTAATAGCAAATTCAAATGCTCGTGCCGTCCTTTGGCGCCTGACGTTACAATACTCGGTAGCCGATTTGTCTTTAAAATCAAATCATCAGCTGTAATATATGTGTGATTTGGGTTCTTGTTGTAGCTCATTAATCGTTCGAGAAATTCTTCGTATTCATTACGTAAATATCCACAACCTGCATCAATCATAAATCTGGAACGGATGGCGACAGATTAATTGATTATCCTTGTGTTGGTTAAAATTTTTTTCTTTTTCTTTTTCATTTAATGTTTATGTATATTACAACAATATATACTTACGCTGGTCCATGATGAATTGTGCGCTGAGTAAAAATGAGGTCCATCAATTTGTTGCGATTTCTCTCAATCACCATGAGATTCGTTTCGGAAATGGAATAACGTGGAGTACCAATAAGTGAAATCATCTTGCGAAAAGCTGTTGCCAATTCAAGTTTTGCTAATATGTAGGAATATGAAGAAGTGGTATTGTATGAATCACAACGTTTCGGCAGTAGATAAATGGCATTCTTGTCACCATCCTGATCTTGATTAAGACCCTTGGCCATCGAGTCGCAAATAGTCAGGGAATTGTGCTCAGGGTCGCCATGTTTTTCCACCATACAGACAAACATACATGTAGTTTTTATTGAGGGATCACGTTTCACACATACCAGACTCAAGTCATATCCCTCTTTCTCCAATAAATTGTATAGTGCATGTGGTATGAGCACTTTGTAGTACGGTATTGTGCATGAAATGGTGGAAGTCTGATAAATTCCTCGCGTTTCGAAACCTGTAACGGCAATTCTCACCACCGAATCTTTACCGCTTTTATACTTTTTTACATTTGAAATGGCAAAATTTGAATCCTCAAAACGCATGTAGCGCTCCTTGGCCGTTTCAGGTGTAAGAATTACAGCGCGTAAAAATGAAATAAAATGATTGAATGATTGTTCGCGCCAAATAGTTGGATCATAAATAATGAATTCCGAGTCGCGTGTAACTGTTGAATGATTGTAAAGACTCACAATGAAACTTGAGTTGTAGTCTTTGACGGAAATGGCCATGTCGCAGCACTTAAATGCGTGGATAAAACAATTAATCGATGGATTGCTGGCATGACAATGTATGTGGCTGGTACAGAAAAAAAAAACAGGTAACTTGGTGCTGTAAATATGCTCTTCGAGTACAGCATCGCCATGTGCCAGAGTGGATTTAGTAAATGTTTCGGGATGATGTTTACAGACCACATCAGTAGTGTGAATACAATCGAAGGGCTCTTGTACAATGCATGGTTTACGTTTCAATTTACCAGTTATTTTATCCGCTTCATCATTTTCAGCCAGTATATTACAATTGAGACATCTATTGCACGGTGGTCGATGCGTGTGCTTACAGCATGTGTAAATTTTTTTATTGATAAGCGCTTCGCCATGAAACATTAGCTCTTGAAATGTCATGAAGAGTTTTGTTGGTGTACGACACTTACCGCACATACGCTGTTCGGTTATACTGCATCTTTGTTTAGCGTGCTTATGATTCGCACAATTACACTGCATTACATACAAATTATTGGCATTGATGAAGTGATCACGTAATTGAAAGTCATACACGTTCATCACCGAATTTAGATGGGAAATTTTATACTTGTAGGTATGAAATTTTGGTAAAACAGTGGTAGCCATCATTTTAACTACCATCATCTACTCACCCCAGTACTGTCTATCCTCTAACTAACATCTTTCTCCGAAAGACCAGTATATTTTATACATTTACAAATTTGCATACATTCAGTAAGGAATGACGTATCCACTCGTCGCTATTGTTTTTCCACTATCGGATTGCGATATGAATGAATTTGGAGTTTTGATAGAGCATGTTTTTTCCTCAGGAATGTAGATTGGTCACATTCGACTTTTGTATTTACGAACAAATTATTGCAATTCTGATTGGCCCTCTGAGTATTTCCACCGCGAAGCAAAAAAAAAAAAATCTTTTCATTTTCTCTCCCGTTGTAATTTATCAATTATAGCGATTAGAGTTTTTTTGCACGGAATGTCTGAGTTACTCTCATAATCCTCGTCATCACTGACATCGTTATTGAATTTTTCTTCTGAAGATAAACGCTTCAATTCATTGCGTATATCAATTTCCGTTTGGGGCATTGTTGTTGAGTTAGGTAGAGTATTGACAAGTTCACGTGAAATATCAGGAAATTCTCCATAGAACGCTTCAATCACTTCGCTATAAAAATCCAAATTGTTAGATATAACTTTTTTATCAACTTGAAGTTTAATAGCTTGAGCAATAAGAGTTAGAATGCGAACCGTGTTTTGCGCTTGAGTCGTTGGTGGAGAATCTCTGGACAAATTTTTATTAACAATGACATTTTCATCGGCGTAAGCTATGTTCTTCATGAGTTGTGAACATTGTAGATACAACTGGTGCGTACTTAGAGCAAGCAATGTACAGAGTATATTATGTGTTTTTGATTGCCAATCTATCCGAGGTCGCACCCAAGTCGATGATTTGAGAAGTTGTGGTGGAGGAATCTCGATACAATGGTATGTCTTGGCAAAATCTATGACACCGAAATATCGACTTGCGGGTGGGCCATGCGGCTGGGCCTTATGAACTTTATTGATATTTTCCGTGACGAGATTGTGAAAGGTTTGCATTCCCGACATGACAAGACCGAAGGACATGTCTTTCACGGTTAATTTCACGCGATTTGTTGGTTTCAAACTCAAATAATGCGATGTGCAAATACTACAGGGTAGAATACAATCAATGTTGTAAATGAGAGTTGGAAAATTAAGTACATCATTTATTCGCTTGTTATGCAGAGCATGGGCTACCAAAATCGAAGCTAAATGAAAGAAACGCCAGTAGATCGGACCCCACATATCTGTGCTGTATTGATTCACACGTACATACATCAAATTGAGTGTTAAATTATACTCGGTGCATAGCTTATCAACAAATTGTGTCATAATTTTATTGTAGCTTGGATTGGCGAGACGTAATTGTTCAGAATAGGTCCAAAATTCATCGAGAATTTCTTGAAAATCACGAACAATTATGGAAATATCAGTGTTTTTGAGCTCTTCTTTGGCTTGACGTAGCAAACTCAAGATTCCCTCAAGCGGTAAAGGTTTCTCTTGTTTTTTCATAATTTCACCACTATATAGTTCTTTTAGTATAAATAGGGAAGCAGATACAAGTCTTGAACAATCTCTTGTTTGAACATATTCAATTGAAACACGCCAATATAATTGTTATGAACACTCAGCCAATTCCGCCAACACTTGTACAATCAAGAGCGGTTGGTGCTGAGGCGGTGACTCCAATTTCATCGCTACAACGTTTTGTAGCAAGTCGCACTAATAAACCACAAATCTCCAACAAACGTAAACTTCGATCTACTGATATTGGTCAAATGTTTATTCCCCTGCGTGCCAAATCTAAAAAACTCGATAGTTTAATATTTCACAAGCACATGGAAGGTTTTGTAATGATCAGTCTCAATGAAAAGCACGAACCACTACGAGCATGGACTAATCAGAAAGCATTTATGCCAATACGATGTACATTTGTTAATGATGTAAGTCAATTTCGTAGCCTTCTCGTTACTTTAAAACCTCGCATCATTCATCTCAATGATGGTGAACCACTTGCTCCACTTGCTGGCTACAATATATCACTCTACAGTAATATATCACTATCCGATAAACTCTCGCTATTGCGTAAACAACAAAATGAAACTAACCAACCCGTTGGAATAAAAACTAAGATTCCCTCCTATAAATCTATCAAAAGTCTCGATCCAAGCATCACATTCGCTGATTACAAATACATTTATAATATTTAACCGATAAAAAAATTTATTTTTCCTCAATTAATTAAATAATATATAATATATAATACATACATGGGAGAGATATGTAAAATGATATTTTTGCAGCCAACTTAAATAAGTAGTTAAATTGATTGGTTCATTGTTTGATGCACATGATAAGACTATCTGTGCTGTGTAATATTACCGATATCTGCCGAGTTATATAGTATATTGCATTTTTATCATGTCACTACCCGACCTTCTCGACAATGAACCCATTCACCTCGATAACGTCACCAATTTTGGATCATTCATTGAAGTTCCTCAGATATTTATAAATGCAACTGATGGAGGCCAAGATTTCATGGTATCCAATATTCGAGCAATCCAACGTGAACTGCTTGAGAAAATAATGAATGTTATGATACATATTCCCGCCGCAAATTACACGGCTCTCGTAGAAATTTGGCAGAAACTAATTGACATAGTAGCCACGTTAGACACGCGAACAGAAGAAATGCAAGAGATTCTTGAATTTCTTGCAATGATAACACAAAATGCCAAAGATTTAGAGATGGAGGATGACTATGTTGACTCAATGAATGTCGGTCTGTCGTTTGATGTAATACGCAATTATCAGAATGATCCCAACACAGATTTATTGATCAATTATGAACCAACGGTGTGGAATGGAGCTCAGCTGTATTCGCAACTCAATCCTCAACAGCAGATTCAAGCCCGTGCCGAAACAAATGATACAGAAATGAATCGTTTTCTTTACTGCATGAAATATTTTGAGCGTGTTTTGGCCTATGAGCCAGGATATGTCTTTAATCGCACCATACGACAAACTAATTTGGCTCTGTCATACTTAACTATCGTGATCTGTTCACGTCCAGTAATAGGCAAATGTGACAATTCACTGAAAGCCAATTATTTGGGTTATATGATAGATACATTGGTTCGTGGGCGTGTATTGCAAGCCTGGCTCAGTCAGCCCTCAAGTAAAGCCCTCATCAATGACATCATTTACAATTATGACCGTAATCATATAATGGTCAAACTCTGTCAACTGTCGACACCCAAAGAACGTGCAACATTTATGATACGACAATTAAAACGCGTCCCTATGCTGCAACCCCTAGTCGACGTATTGAGTTATCAACTTTACGAAGATCTTCTAAAAACTTGTGCTCGTCAAATCAATGGCAAGGTGTATTATGTATTTGATACAAATTTCATCAAAAATATGATGCAGCTCGAATGCTTCGCTGTTTTTATTAAAATGTTCAGTGATGAGAAATTTGCCAATGCTTTCACTGAAAAATTCTCTAATGGAGAATTACTCACAACGGAGACCAATGATATTGGTGATTTTCCAGACGTCCATCAAGCCACTAATCATGCGGAAATGCCAATGGAAGATTAAAGTACAAAATATCTGTCTCCGAAAACGTGCCTATTTTTATTAATTTCATTTTATATTTTTTTAAGAGTACACACAAATTAAAAAAAAAATACTTACTGGCTATTTAACTGGATTTTCTAGAAGAAACTAGATATAACTATAGAATAATTCAGGCCAGTCACCAATTGAAACATTCAATGTATTTTTATGTCTCATATATATGTCTCATACTACTCTCTGATTGCCTAATTCTATTGTCCCAGTGCATGTACAACTTACGATAATTAGCTTGCGGATATCGACTATCGCCTCAACCCTAACTTCTATCTTGCTTACTCTTTTAATATTTCTGTCTTAAATTAAAAATTTACGGATCATCTGCCCACATCTACCTACGAATTTTATCTACATATTCCTCTCAATTTATTATGATTATTTTCCTAATTATTGATTTTCAATAGTAAAAATGTTAAAATCGTTAATCGATAGAAAAGTTAATTTTTATTCATTTTAACATTAAGTTTTTTTTTGTTATTGAGATTCCTTGATTCGAACTTGATGAACAACGTTGCGTCTTTCATAGGGTTTCTTATCAAGAGTGTACCGATAGCGTTTAGTTAATGAGATTTTTTTATCGCGCAGAAAACGTTCAGCTTTCACGACAAAATGACGTATTGGCAATCTTTTAGACTGTTGAAAATTTCTACGATATTGACCATAGAGATCTTTAAGGGAGACCATGTCAGCTGTATTATCCGTTGTGATAAGATTTTCTTCCATCCATTTATTGAAGACTAGATTCTCAGATTGTGAATCCTCACTGCGACATTGTGTTAGACGCATGGATCGTGGTATTGGCAGTAAACTCAATCCATAATCGTCAGTACGATAATTAAGGATAAAAATAAGAATTGAGCTACACCACAATTGTAATGTTTCCTGGTTGATAGTTTTACCCTCGTAAATATGATGACCTGCATTGACGTGTGCTGGTGAGACAAAACGACTCCGCATTGGCACTATAACAGCGCGTTCTTTTTCCGGTTCCGTAATAATTCGCAAACGAGTAAATCGATTCTCACCAAAAATAGCGCCAATTTTTGTCGTCAATTCCAGCAGCTTCTCGTTGTTAGGCGTCACATTATCAACTGCAATCATTCTTTGATTCATGTACTTGCCAAAGAATATCTTAATCAATGCAATCAATGTTGATTTGCCACTGCCCTTAGCATTAATTGTCTCAGCAACCACCGGATTATCTTTATTCCGTAGTATAATGAATTTATCGTCTGCACGTTTACCATAGAGCAGTGAGGCGAAATATGTCAATAGTATTGTGAGTTCATTTGAGTCCGGTATAAGTCGTACAAAAAATTCTCGAACTTGAGTGTTGTATTGTTGGGCCAGGTCTTCTCTAAAACACCATCCAGTACCCGACAAACAATAATCCTCGGGATTGGCTTTCTGTAACTCTTTACTACCTAATTCAATCATCCCATTTTCCACTACAAAGCGATTCTCATTGACGGCGAATTTCTCCTCAATATCTTCATCTTTACTCAATTCAAACAGCATTTCATACACTTCTTTTTGCCATTCCTTTGACAAGAGTAGATACAAAAACTCATTCAATTGTTCATTCATTAAATTGCGCGTTGAAAATTGAATAATCAGCCTCAAAACATTTTCCATTATTCGTTTTGTTTCTTTATGCCAAATACCTGTAATTGCATTACAGATAAAAAACTCACCGTTCGATGAACTTTTACAAAATCGTCGCAAATGCGGTTTTAGTATATTAATGCACATTGCAATCAGTTGTCTCTTGGTTTCACGTCCCGTCATGTTTCCGAAAAAAAACTGCCGTTTTAGCTTAACTCGACATCCTTTTTATACTCGTACTTGGTGTATTTATGAATTTTTTTTTTCTAAAAAAATTCATAGAATCATTTTCATTTTACGAAAACGTTCATTCACTCCTCCAACGAATAAAATTATTTTTTACTTATTATAGATTACTTATAGACATAGATAGTTGGGCAATTATTCAACAGCTGCAAAGATGGTGTAAAAATATTGACAGTAATAATAAAGTGAGAAATTGCAGTTTTGGCAAATACGAGTTGCCCGGGATGGAATTGGGTATAACATATTGTAGATCGGGCATTTCAATTGAGAAACGGAAAATTAATGATAAGCCATTTTTTTCTTAAATCCCTATCGATTTGATTACGAAGCTTACATGAACGTATGGAAACTCTCGTTATTTTATTCAATACCCACGAAAGATAACATCAGTGTTCAACGTATGATTCATTATTTAACGACAAAGCAATTGTATGCTTTCAGTCAATGACTTGCTAGGACTTGATCTATCGTATTCTCAATTCTTGGAGATTAGGCTCAATGTGAGTTCCTTCAATGGCAAATAGCACATTATTGCAATTGCTCTCAACGAATGCTATTTTGATAATATGATATATTGGATAATATGAATGAAACATGATATTTAGAATAAAGAATAAAAATCAAGCGTGCGGCTCATGCAATACCGTTTTTATTTTAAAACAATTTCAACTTCAACTCATTATTCTTCGTTTCTTTTTTATTGTTGTCAATTAGTCATTAGGAAAAAATAAAAATGTCATGACTCTGTACATGCTTTTCATCCATTACTATACGTGAATTCTATATATATCGTAATTTAAATCGGTCGGGTATATTAAAATTATTAGTGTTTCAATTTTTTACACAAAATACATTGATAAAGTACGGTCGGTGCCTCATCGCCACGACGCAACTGAATGGTACTGTAGTGCTCCCATTTGTGTTGACATGCACTGACACTGTAGTAGCGACTTGTACGTTGTTTAGGATAGCGTACATCAAAGGCAAAAATTGGCCCGAGGATGTCTGATGACGCTGTTGAAATCAATACTCGCTCACCATCTTCCGAAGCATAAAACATATTGAGCGAAGAGAGACCTAATTATAATAAAATTTTTAGAAGACAAAGATTAAAAATCTCACCACAATTGAAAAAGCCATACTTTCCACATACTATTTAGACTCATTGTTAATAGCTGTAAGTACGCCAAACGACTGAATTGATTTTATATTGCGCTACAACCTTTTTATAGGGTAATAGCGAGAGGCGTATTCATGATGTTACTATTCGTATCGTCAAGACGGACGTCTGCGTGGGTTGTAATGAGGAATTGGACCAAACAAAATTCAGATATTCAAGTAAATATAATTTGGTCGTTTATTTCATCAGTTGAAACAATAGATATTATCAACATTTTTGGATTTGATTTATTCGAGTGGGTTCAAACCAATGAGGACAGATTAAAATATTCTATAAATAAGTAAAATATTCAATTATCCGAATGGAAAAATGGTATCATGCAAATTTTGAAATAATCGAAGAGGAATTCCAAACAGATTAAGAAAATGTTCTCTACTTATCATTACACTTTCAGTAAACGAGCTGAGCAGTTTATACGTAAAAAAAAATTTTTTTAACTGACAAAAAATTGTCAACGATTAAATTCCAATTTGCATTCCATTCCATTTACTCTCTGCTATCACATAATTACCTGGCAGTCTACTTAACAGTTTTCATTGGTATAATTATCTGAGTAGATAAGGTATTCATTAATTTTTCGTTAAAATATCCAAAAAATCAATCGCTACTTCTACATTTCTCTGATCGATAAATACAATAAGGTCCCATATTCCGTTGATCAATCAATTAGAATCATTTTTACCTAAATAATTATTGCTTAAGAATAATATATTTCGCTTTATCCATTAAAAACAGTCTAGTATTTTTGGTCTGATCATTATTAATTGGCTCGAGTATTTTATAGTGCCAACTGGCTTTAAAGAACTTCATTATTTGTCAAATTAGATTAGGAAAGAAGTAATAAGTAGAGTATTTTTCGATATCTTGAGAAAAGTAATACAGGACATTTTGCAAGATTTTTACTAAGTGAATATTTCCATGTTATGGATTACTCAATTTTATTATTTAAAAAATATTTCAAGGTCTTTCGATGATATCTAGTACTACTTTCCTCAGTGAATATAGTTTCAACAATATTGGTACTTAAAAGTTATTTTCAACCAAAAAAATTCGTTGAAGTATTCAGAACGTTGAACGTGTGTATTGCACTACATCTCTCAATTAGTTAAAATAATCCTAGGATTAATTGAGAGAAAGAGGATATGTTGCAACATCGAACGAAGATTAGAGAAGATAATTTTACCTCTTTCGATATCACTTATTCTCCATAATTTCATTTTTACTGAGCACTACGGTTGGAGCTTCAAGTGATGTGGAATGAATGAAAATTTGAAGGGAAAGTTTTTTAATAAGATGGATGACATCCGCATTTTTCGGCTTACTTTGTCTTTAATTAGTAAGTTAACATCCATTGGAGATTTGAGGTAGATGAAAACTTGGTAGGAAGTTTCCGTTGAGTCGTGGAAGATATCAGCTCGAAAGAGAATTGATTTCTTGTTTAAGCCGAATGAAATAAAGATGAAGAGTCGGGGACGTGGATTAAAAAGCCCGACAAGAAGATAGAGAGGGAGATATGTCTGACACGTCCGGCCAAGTCATTCAGATTAACTTGCATCACAGCAAAAGTGTCTCAGCTGTTCTCTGCGGGACGTGTACTAATTTATTAGAGATAAAATGCCCAGGAAGTAAACCAACCAGTGGAGAAGAGTTGAAAAACGTGTAGGACAGCTACTCAACACGAATAGTTAAAATATTGTGAGGGTGCCATTTTCTATATAGAACATTATTCTAGTGGACGGCAAGAGTGAATCTACATTTTTTCATGGCTATCCACTTGCAGAGAAGTTCAGAGTTTAGGGAATAAGGAGAATTTATTGAGATAGAAGAGAAGAGAGGGAAAGAATAGTATAAATCGCTTCGTTCCCTTTCTACATCAAACGCAGGTAGCTTTGTACCCTAGAATGACATCACGTGTTTTACTGCAAGTGGGTCTATCAGAGGCACAAATGCTGGCGTCATGAATTTTCTGTACTATATTGTTGCCAAATGATTCTTCCTTGTCCTTCACTCTTTGCTGGAATAATCTTGCTGACGCGTCAAAATTCCCAATACTACACCGACTTCCTCGTTGATACTGCGATCTACTGAGAAACTCGAGTTTTTCGGCATTAGTAAAAATACTCGATCGACTTCCCTTCACTACCGAGAATGGTTTTGCGAGTACGTCCATCCTATCAAGCTGACAAATGCTCAATCCCCTCTCTCTTGGTGTTATATGATGAGCAAGAACGTCCATTCTATCAAAATGACAAATGCTCATTCCTCGTTCACGCTGCATTGGTCGAGCTAGAACATGAGTTCTATCGAATTGAGAAACACTCATGCCTCTTTCCTTCTGAAATAATCTCGATGGCTTCGAGTACTCCTTGAATGGCTTGACTGCATCTGCTGCTTCTACTTGTTTTTTCTCTTCATTCGCTGATAGCTCTGATGGCTGCTGGTATCTTTCAACTTGTTCATCAAGCATTAACGATTGAAGGTCAAACGCACTTTTAGATCGTCTCGGTGCGTTACCGGCGAGATATGCCATACTGGAACCCACAAAAACGCTGTTCTGCCTTGGTCTCGCCATGATTGACTGACACTGAGAGTGGTCCAGACAATGAATATTGAATTTCGAACATGAGCGTATTGGTAGAGGAGATGGATCGACGACAGCACAGCTTGGACGGTGTTGTTGTTGAAATTTTGGCTGATAAGGCTCGAGCATTCGAATTTTACCCCAGCGGTTGAAAAATAGGGCGATAGCTGCCACCCATAGAAGAAGAACCAAGATCACTAACAAGGCTTCTTCAGCGCGCACCACCACACTCCCCGTTTTCGGGAAGTTTGGATAAGTGGAATTTATATGAGCTGCAGAATCCAATTCTGACGACATCGAGCCAATGAGTATAGCTGGTAGTCTCTCCGTTTTACGCTCTGGAGGCTCTTCCAACTCCAGCTCGATTTTTGTCACGTCCCCTGTTAAAAATCCAATTCAACTAAAAATTCTAATCAAGTCAAATCAACTTTTTATATCGAGAACTCGTTTGATCCTTTATTTTAATATTTACCATTGCCAGTCACCTGGACTTTAATAGGGGTGGCTGAACCATGATGATGTCTGGTGCGATGGCCGTCACCCTCCACAGTGCCTTTTTTCCTTTATCTTTTATCTACAATTTTTTTAAATGCATATGCATAACACTATTTACTGCTAACGAAATTATATCAATTTCATAATAATTATGATTAGGCGAACATGGTTGACATGATTATTGACGTTGATATCATAAAACAAATAAAATTGGGAGTCAACATGGAAAGACCCATTACATAAGTTGAGGATGGTTGAATGTTAAGGATGACGATGAAACAGACTTGACGGGACTAGAAAAGAACTAACCTGTGGTAATATAAAAAAAAAATGCGATACAGATAAATAAATTCAAGGCATGTAGAGTCCTCACGTAAATATCGTTTTATGATGTATTTTGGGCATTTCCGGCTGATTCGTGCATGAGCTCATTAAAATTATAACATTACTAAAAATATATATATTCAATCGGCATTGCAAACTGAAGACTGAAAAAAATTTTACCCACCAGTATGGAAAAGGGCTTTGAGTTAGAGAAACCGTCTCTCGCATGTAAACAATAAACTGGATAGTCTTATCCACTTGCACTTGCACTTTGTCACATAAATTTCTCCACGTGCATTACATAGACCGTAGTAATTAAAATGAAGGCTTACTACCAATTATGATCTAAACACGATTGGTTCCTCCACGTGACTGAACAGGCATACATAGAGAAATGTTGTGTATTTCTTGCCCCTCTTCAGCTTCATGACGACGCAAATAGAGAAAGTCTCAATACGCGCAAGCTCAGAATTGCTTGTGATTGCATGTATTAGGCTCCTCTATCTAAAAACACAGAGCGCACAGAGCATTGGCATGTCGTCTACCAAAGAGGATTGACTAAAGTAGAGACTCAGTTCAGGGGGTTGAAGTAACCCCAGCGGCATCGTAGTACTGCACCCCAAGTGAGGGAGGGCGCCAAATAACGCAATGTTATTTTTTCGTTCAGAATAAATCCTGTCACACCTGAGAAGCGGGGAATAGATACACTTGAACCAAATAGAAGTCGACAAAATTCGCCGTTGCAATCCTCTATTTATTATACATAACATATGTATCACTTTTATCACGGATACATTTTTATAGAAAAACTTCATATAAAAATATGTCAATCCATCCAGTAGACTTATCTGTTACACAACTATTGATGAAAATCACCGATAAAAACAATAATAAATGCATAATACCAGTATGCTGTAAAAATATGTCGTCTGCATTATTTCAAACCCTTCAACCAAATCTTAAATTAATTCAATAATGAAGATAATTCACAAAGTGAGATAATTACAATTAATGATTTTTTGTAATTACCGATTTATATCTTATTTTAGCTCCAAAAAAGTCATTCAGTGTTTCTACCTTAAATAGATGATTTTCAAGCTATATCAATAATAAAAATATGTGTCAGCTCCTTATCATACCGTTTCACTCCTAAATGGGACTTATCTCTTCTCACCAGATTCCCCTGAATTTTTTAACACGCATAGCGATATTCCTGAATGCTCTGAGCAATTCCCCTGATCAACACCTCCCCAAAATCATAGCCAGCAGAGCCATCCTGACATAAACCCCGCATTCCGCCTGCCTGAAATAGGCAGCCCTGGGATCATTATCGAAGTCAGGACTGATCTCAAAGTTCCTGGGAAGCGGATGCATGACGACCATCCTGCGTTTGGCCCTCGTCATCAACTGTGGTGTGACGACAAAGTGTCCACAGACCCTGTCGTACTCCTCCTGGCTCTGGAACCTCTCCCTCTGGATTCTTGTCATGTACAAGACATCAGTATCAGGGAGGACTTCCTCGAGACTTGAGAATTTCTCCTGAGGGACTCCTCTCTGGGCCACGTATCCCACAACATGATCTGGCATGCCCAGACTGGGAGGACTGACATATCTCAGGTTGACGTTGTAGAGGGTGAGGAGTCTAGCGAGGGAGTGGACAGTCCTGCCGTGCTTGAGGTCCCCAACCATTGTGATGGTGAGACCATTAACAGTGCCAATCTCCTCACGAATAGTGAAAATATCGAGAAGGGCCTGGGTGGGATGCTCTCCCACTCCATCCCCAGCATTTATCATGGGTTTTCTACAATGCTGAGCAGCTCTGGCAACTGCCCCAGGCTCTGGATGTCTCAGGACAACAGCATCTGCATAGCCTGCCATCACTGCCACAGTGTCCTCCAGGCTCTCTCCTTTTTTCACTGACGACGTCGATCCATCCATGTGTACAACTTTGCCCCCTAGCCTCTGCATGGCAGCTGCGAAACTGCAGGATGTCCTTGTACTGACCTCGTAGAAGACAGACGCCATTAGCTTTCCCCGTAGAATGTTGTCCAGGGGGCGTTCCTTGAGGACATCCACCCGGAGGCTCTGGGCGGTGTTGAAGATGTCGTTCAGCTGCTCCTTCGTGAACATGTCCGCTGTGAGAATGTGCTGGCCGGCGAGGCCGTGGTTGGAGAGGGAATGATGTCTCGTGATTGGCGAGGACTGATAATTCGAATCGGTCTTGAGGCGGCCCAGGAGGGGTGACACTGGCCTCTGGGGAACTTTTGAGAGGTCTCGAGACTCGATATCCGCAAAGAAGTGCACAATATTTTTTGGAGGGGTTGGCTGCAAAAGGTGGGAGTAGAAATCGGTGGGTTCGTCAGTATTTGGAACAACGTGAGGATGGGTAATCGCCTTTTCGTAGTTCGGGGAGAGGAGCTTGTCGAGGGCAGAGTTTGGTCGGCTAGTTACATCGGTGATTGAGTGGATGATCGGAGTGAGTTTCTGATTTCGTTGAAGCTCGCGAATGTCCTGACCGAAACCTGGCGACACCAACACCTGGCCTTCTACGTAGGCCACTTCACCTCGAAGCACAACTCTGTGGATTGACCCTCGGATTTTTTGTCCTGCGAACGGTGTCCATTTGGATTTTGTGAAGGGAAGGGCTTCGGGTATCGTCCACTCCTCGTCAAGGTCCACCTCGACGTAGGTATTCGGCTGAGGGGGGATGTTGAAGATGCGCTTGGGATTTGTGTAGAATTTTTCAATTATGTCCTGAAATGCGGGATTTTATTTTTATTTAGCTAAGGTTGAGGTGAGGATTGAAGGGGTGAAAAAGTATTGGTTGAAAAATTAATGTAGCTGATAAGTAAATTTTTTTTTGTACTATTCAATTTTTAAAGATTATCCGGGGAATCACTATGCAATTGAGTGATTGATTATCGAATATCGCATTTTATCGATGCAACTCTTGCAGGAAATGCGATAAGTCATTTCGCCTCCCAGTGGCTTTGCTCGTTATTTTAATTTTTTTTTTACAAACCAGTCTCTTCAGTATCTTTCATCGCGTGGGGGAAAAAAATGTATGACCATCGGCTCATTTCAACGTTCAAGATTAAGTCATGGATTAACAAGATTAAATTCACCGGTATGTAGCTGATAAGGACTGAGTAAAAATGGGTGTAACACAAGACCAGACTAGGGTCTGATATCAGGAGAAATCTTTTTATCGTTACCTCGATGGTGAGTCTGCCTTCGTGCACAGCATTCAGGAGAAGTGGAAGAATTGTCTCGAGACCTGGGTAACCAGGAGGTGATTTCTCGCCATCTTTTTCTTCGACGGTATGTGGAGCTACAGAAAAAATTACATCACGAACAATAATCACACAAGATATCTAACCAACTTTTTCCACAATCCGGTGTCCGGAATCTTTCATTTGGAAAAAAATTGAGATGAATCTCCTCGTTGCAAATTATTTGCTTTTTTTTTCTCAAGTATTGGAGAAAAAATTTCAAAGAGTTGTCTAATAAATTCGCAAGGAGAGAAAAAAAAAATTTCAAACAGCAAAGAATAAACCTGTATTTTGTGGACTTTAGTTATTATTACCGTGATCTGTAGCGAAGCAATCGATGATGTCCATATTATCCCAGAGCGCTTGCTGATCCTCTGGTGTCCCGAGGATGGGTCTGACTTCACTCCTGGCGGCTCCAATCCTCACGGAATCGTCTTGAGTTAAAAATAGATGATGTGGGCTTACCTCGCAGGTGACATTAAGACCACTTTCCTTGGCTGCTCGAATTATCTCAATCTCCTCTTTTCGGGCTACGTGACAGATGTGAACAGGGCGATTGTATCGACTAGCCAGGACCACTACGGTAGCGGTAACATGGCCTTCGGCGTGAACGCACAGTGGATATTTTTTCGGCCAATTTTCAAAGTGCTGGTATGAGTAAAATTAGGTTGAGTAATTTAAATAGATATATGTGTTTTACACCACATGTCGTTATCTGCGGTAATTCTATTTTTGAAATTATACCTTCACCCACTCGTTGATATTCTTGAGCCTTAACGTGGTGAACGTCTCATTCAGATACATCTTCAGGGCAGCTGCCATCGGTGCAATCTCCGGAAGAGTATTATAATTAATCGAGGATGCACCCACGAAGAGAGCGTAGTCACATCGAGCTCCAGCAGTTGCACACTACGAACAAATACTTATCCACATTACGAGAATCCACTTAGGATATCCGTGTATCTTTTATTTTATTTTTTATCCGTGTATAGATCATCTTACAAATTGAGAACTTTTTTATCATCGCATTTGTGAATTAAATGATGTTTGAAAGAGAAAAATAAAATATTGTAAATCTCATGAGTTGACGTACTTCCTTAGCCACGGTGAAGGATTGATGGTCGACGACAGGAGGATCCGTGTTAGGCATTGCGAAAATCATGGTGACACCGCCAGCTAGAGCAGCTGCTGTGCAAGACGCAAAATCCTCTTTATGAGTTGCCCCTGGATCACGAGTGTGAACGTGCACGTCGATAAAACCAGGAAGTCTGAGGATTCTTCGAGATGACATGCAGTCAGTGTGAGTCTTCATCCTTGGAGCTCGTCCTCCCAATTTGCTGATTGCCTGGAGGAGAGATAGGAGTCATCAAGAGTCCACATATGAATATTTTCCCGTAAAAAATCTCAAATTGGGAGATAAATCGGAAGTGTTGAACAAAGTTTTTTTTGCGAAAAAATATTCAGAAGTGTATGGATATAAATTTAATTACTATTCTACTTTCTCTCAAAACAATATTATTAGAGAGAGTAATTCATTGAAGACTGATCAAGTTTTTATGATCGAAATACTGCAAACAAGAGTGCCAACTAGATTAATTGAATTGACAATTAACGAATGACGTAATCTGTACCAATTGTTGAAACTACTGTACGAAACCGCTGGTGTCTCGTCACCCTCGTCACCTGCAGTTACCTTAATCGATCTGTCAATATCATCCGTTAGCGTATCCCAGATTATAATGCCATTCTGGAAAGATGATTCATGCGATTAAATACTACTGAACACTTACGTCAACCAATAGTTTGGCGCATTTGACGTCAGTAACCAGTGGTACACAGTAATCGACAGCAAGTCTTCGGGTTCGGTAGCCATGGGTCATGAAATTAGAGACTCGTCGAGCTCCACCGTTGCGCATTGGAAGATTGATCACGAGGTCGAAGTGCTTCTTGGAGAGAAAATCAGCTAAATGTCGAAGCTCACTTGGACTCGAATCCTCGTTGACGTCGATGTTCTCGAAGGTCCATTGCACTGGCTCCACCTAAAAAATTGCGATTAATTAATCATTATAAAAAAATTATTATGCCGAAATCAAGAATGAAATTGAATTATCTGTGGATTTGGCGACTGCACTCCGAGAAAAACGATCAGACCGTCAATCAAATTGATAGAAGTTAATTGTAATAAATTTATTTGTTCTCAAGTTAAATTGCCGAGATGATAGCGGTGTTTTTTTTTAGGATTAATTTTTGTGGAGTGAAATGAAAGCTACAGTAAAGGTTTTTCCAAAGATTTCGATATTTTTTTCATATGAAAATAATTGCAAATTTCCGGGAAATTTCCTATTTTCTTAGTCTTCCGCTCCAAGAGTGACGCGACGTTATCAAGGAATTACTGAAGATATTCTTCTACAATTTTTTTTTTACTAAACTGTTTTTTAATTTTTATCAATATCTGATAGTGACTGACCAATCGCACACACTTTGGATGATTCGATAACGCGATCGTTATTTATCAGCAAGAATCTAGCGCGATTAAGGTACGAATCAGGTTTTAGTGTTCAACGTACGACCGTGACTAGTTTAATCGGTTCATCCCAAGTTCACTAAACTGTATTTTATGAATTAAACGATGAACTGTGGGAATTTATTGTGTACTGGACTCTAATAAATATCGCTGATCGATTGCGATAATTAGATAGCGAGGCCATCGATTATTGATCATTGATGCCGGAGATATTTGGGAATTTATTCAGAGTAGGAATGGGAAATAAAACTTCAAAACGAAAAAATGGAAATTCAGCGAAAGTGCGTCAGGATAAGGAATCCAGTGATTCTGGTGATGGGGAGTATTTCGATCGGATTTATCAGCAGTGGGGAGAGGATGTCGAGCTGAGGATCATGAGGAGGAGAATAGAACGTGAACCTGAAGTATTCATTCTCAATAATCTTATGATGGCGGGACAGTTCTTTGAAAATTTCGACGAGTAAGACTCTTTTGCAGTGTTCAATAAATCAGTTGTTATGCGAGAAATTCATGGATATCCCAGTAACAATTATTCTGCAATTTTTACGTATTCTTTCGAAAATCAAAATGAAGAATCAAAATCGTAGTTAAAATATGGATTAAAATTGAAAGATATGGTGATTGCATCTTGTGCTTGATATAATCGAATAAGTTAACAAAATTATCTGTTTTGAATGAAAGATCAGCGAGATTAAACGAGATCCAACGACCTCCATTTTTTGTTCACAATTTTTTAATTATTGCAGGGAAATTTTGAAAATCCAACAGACATCAATCTCGATTAGGGAGGCGGAAATGAATTCGCTTCTGCCACCGCAGAAACACGCACTTATGCCCGATGTGTTGCAAGATCAGGTGGCAAAAAAAGTAGATTTTATCTACGAAAGACCGGCTTCGATTCTCTCAGTTGAACCCCTTCAACCGATTCGGGTCTATGTAGTGTTCAATAATGTCGAAGTTACGGAGGAAAATTTTCCGTCTCCTTACTGCACTGTTAATGAGGCAATGAGTTATAATATGCAACTGAAGCCGAGTAAACACAAAGGTGAATTCCATCAATTCTAGTGGAAAAGAATTTAAATTTTTGGGATTAAAATTATTTTAAATTCAGAAGAACCGCTAGAATCTCGAGATGTTTCCAATTTACTTGATTACCTCGTTAGAAAACAAAATGGAATTTTATAATTTAGATTGATGAGAAGAAATTGATACAACAATAAAAATAAATGAAAATTACCTTCAACTTTAAATTTTTGAGTGATAGAAAAATGCACTAGCTCGTGATTGAATTTTTCTTCCTGGTGTTAGAGCTAAAAGTAGCATCGTGAAAATGCCTGAATTAAAAAAAAAATTTCCCTAGGGTACGCGCTCCTCCAACGCCTGGAGGTGAATCCGTCCCGAAGAAAAATGGAGCCTCGAGACGAAGAACCCTACAGCGACGAGGAAAACTCGAAAGCCCAGAAACTTCTACCCGACCATTCAGGGACTCCCTACGCCTCGAGTGAGCTTCTGTATGAAAGGCAAAGACCAAAGAAGTCCCTCCCAAAGCCCTTCCAGACTCCGTCCTCAGGTAGTCCCGCCGAGAGCACAAGTTCAGGCTATCGTTCCGGTCACTATACCCTCGATAGCGACAGTGATACCGGTTACGGAGTGGCTTACGCACCCTCATCCTCGTCAGAACTGCCAAAAAGTTGTTTCATTTCCACAACCAACGTGAAGATCTACGGTACGAGAAAAGAGAAACGCCAGGATCTAAACCAGAAAGACCGAGTCATCAGAAGCGTCATGCACAGCAGAATCTACAAAGTATGGTATCTGAATTCCCGTAAATTCATGGATCACTTCTACCAGTTCTTTACAACAGACCTAGCAGACGTGATGGGTTTCGCTTCAGAGATTCAGGACGAGCCCCAGGGGGCAGTGATCTACCGGGACAAACTGGAGCGTTTGGAATCGACTAATTGTCTGAGGGACGAGCAGTTTGCTATCATCCCATGTATCTGGTCAGTTTGGCCAGAAATGGCGAACGAGTGGCTAGAGAGACCCCGAGGTAATTGGCCAGCATACACCATACTGGAGAAAATTAAGGAGAGCGGGTGCTACCTTATTCCCGAGGGGTACACCTCGGAGAAGATCACCAATGATTTTCAGACTCTGGAATGGGAGGTGGTTTTCCCCGCAGCTGAGAGATACCTTGAGGGCTGCATGACCCATGCACAGGTCAGAGTGTATGTTATGGCCCTGATGCTCCAGAAGACCTTCTTCACGCCTATCGAATCGATAATTGGCCTCGGAGGATCGCACATTCGAAATCAGATGTTCTGGATGATCGAAGAGGATGACAGACCTGTTTGGTGGCTTGAGAGTCGCTCTGGGGAGAGTCTCCTCAGGCTACTGGAGAGTCTCTACAAAGCCATCAGTCAGGACGAGCCAATTCTTCCTGATTATTTCATCAGGGAGAAAAATCTTTTCCAGGGGAAGATCTATCTGTTAAGGACGCAGAAGCAGCTGAAGAGAATCATCGAGAACCCGGTGATGTACGTTCTTCATGCCATGCAAAATATTATGCACAGTAAGAGTTTCTTTCCGGTCATGGACTCTACGAAGCTTCTGAGGATTCTCACGGAGGATGTGCTTACTATTATAAATCCAAGGATTGCTGGGACTGTTGGGTACAATGGCAATTCCAGGGAACAAGAATATACGTATGTGTATGGGGTGAGGGATGGTGACAACAAAGGCGAGAGGAAGAGGATCAATGGGGCGAGACTCAGGGCTAAAAAGAAACTCGTCACTACGAAACAGTCATCCGATCAAGTCGCGGAGATTGAAGTGAGTTCAATAATCGCTACGGTAAATTTAAAAATTATGTAAAACCGTTAAAAAGTTGCAAAAAACTCGATGATACCAGCAATCATCATTTTTTGCCTCATATAATTGAATATTAAAATGAATTAATTATGAATTAATTATGGAAGATTAGCGCATTAGTCTACCAATTGAATTCCCGTTTTCAAAAGTTCGAATGTTTCTAGGTGAATTGTGCTGAATTAGACGAAAGGAGGCTAGGGCTAGTCCTGAACTTCTTTATCTCTCACTTCATAGAAGTAGCCGAATGTTACCACGAATACCGAGCGCTTCCCCAGAAGACGACGTATATAGAGCATGCAGAGAGACTTTGCGTGCTGCTCTCAGAGAATTCCAGCGACCGCGGAGCAGCCAGAGCTTTTCTGGATAGACTCCAGTCCCTGAAGAGACGAGTTGTGAGTTCCAAGTGCGATAACGACCCACCAGAGACCCCCCAGAGGAACAGTGATCGACCGATCTTCACAGCATCCCTCAAAAATCGTTTCGAGCCCCCACCGACTTCTGCCGAATCTCATTCGATATTAAAGATTTCTGCCTCTGAAGGAGCTTTCAACGACAAAACTGATTCAGTAATGAATGATTTCAAGCTCGCTATACCTACGGCTCCTCGCAAACAAGTCACAATGGCGGTTGTTTACGAAGCTGATGCCGAAAGTGATGTGGAATTTAGAAATCATGCGGGACGAGAGGATAAATCTAAAAAAAACGGAGTTTTATCGTTTACGAAGAGTCAGGAGACTTTATGCACTGCGGAGGATACTTACATTTAATCGTCATTGTTTGATCAGCTATGTATTTTGTAACGACCATTAAATTATAAAATAATTGGTAGTATTGTTGTATTCAATTCATTGCTATTTGCCGGCACACTGAGAGAAACAAATGACATTTCCCTGCCCCTTCAAATTAGAGAAGTAAAGAAGCGGTTAAACTCACCTCAACCCCGTGTTCAGTGTAAAAATCAGCAGTTCCCATGCTGGCGTACAGCTTATACCCCATCTTCTTCAAGCTCCTCATGGACTCCAATAATTCCACTTTGTGTTTGAAACTCCCGATAGACAAAAGAATGCCCTTCTGTGGTATGTAGAACCCAGTGCTCATCATTCCCTTGAGGTATGCCTCGTACCTATTATCGCCAAAACAGGCGACTTCGCCAGTAGATGCCATCTCAACACCGAGAGTGACATCAGCCCCTGCGAGCCTGGAGAAGGAGAATTGTGGAACCTTGACGCCAACCTTGCCACAGCCTACCAGGACATCCACAGGGTCAACAGTCTCTCCGACCATAATCCTGGTGGCCATGGCGACAAAGTCGTGATCCAGAGTCTTGGAGACGAATGGAAAAGACCTTGAAACCCTGACATTGCACTCAATGACCTTGAGCTCATTGTCCTTGGCGATAAGCTGCATGTTGAAGGGTCCAGTGACCTCGAGGGAAGCTGCAATGGCCCTAGAGATGACCTTGATCTTGGCAAGGGTCTCGGGATTGATGTCCTGAGGGGGTGTCACCAGGGTGGCGTCCCCCGAGTGAACCCCAGCGTTCTCCACGTGTTCGGAGACGGCCATGCAGAGGATAACACCGTCGTACGCCACTGCGTCGACATCAATCTCCTTGGCCTCCAGGATAAACTTCGAGATTACCACTGGGTGTTCTTTAGATACATCACTGGCGTTCTTAAGGTAGGACTCGAGGTCCTGGTGGGAGTGGGCGACATTCATCGCTGCACCAGAGAGAACGTAAGAGGGACGAACCAGACAGGGAAATCCCACCTCGTCACAAAATTCAATGGCTGACTTGAGATTCGTCAGTTCCTTCCATCGCGGCTGCGATATCCCAATCCTGTCCAGCATTCTGGAGAACTTGAAACGATTCTCAGCACCGTCCACCGACTCTGGCGATGTCCCCAGGATTCTTGCCTGCTGTCTGTGGAGATCCATCGCTATGTTGTTTGGTAATTGTCCCCCCATTGACAGAATCACACCTTCTGGGTTCTCGTGGTCGTAGATGTCCATCACAACTTCGAACGAGATCTCCTCGAAGTACAAACGGTCTGACATATCGTAATCCGTGCTTACTGTCTCTGGATTGTAATTTATCATAATCGTTTTCTTGCCGAGATTTTGAAGTTCCCTCAGACAGCTGACAGCACACCAGTCGAATTCAACGGAACTTCCTATTCTGTAGACCCCAGATCCAATGACCATAGTGTACCCTCCGGGGAAATCGATATCGTGTGTCGATCCGTTGTATGTCAAGTACAAATAATTTGTTGTCGCTGGCCACTCAGCAGCAACCGTATCGATCTGTTTGACAAATGGCCAGATATTAAACTCCTTTCTCTGCTTACGAACCGCCAATTCAGTGCTTTTGACAGCAGTTGCAATCTGTTTATCAGAGAATCCCATTTTCTTGGCCCCCAGGAGAATGGCATGAGACAGTTTTTCAGGACCGACAATCTCAAACAGCTTGTAATAATCGATTATATTCTGCATCTTGTGCAGAAACCAGCGATCGATCTTTGTGAGCTCATAGAGGCGATCGACGGAATATCCAGCCTTCATCGATGCCGCCAGGACGAACATGCGTTTGTCAGTTGGTTTTTCCAGTTCTTCATCGTTCAGGGGCTTGAGATTTGGGTCAAAGCCGTGAACATTCTCGTCGACCATCCTGAGTGCCTTTTGAAAGGCCTCCTCGAATTTTCTCCCAATCGCCATTACTTCCCCGACGCTCTTCATAGATGAGCCAATTTTGGTGCTGACCCTTTGAAATTTACTCAGATCCCACCTGGGAATCTTGACGACGCAGTAATCGAGACTGGGCTCGAAGCAGGCTGTCGTCTTTCCAGTAACGGAATTATTGATCTCTGGCAGTGGAACTCCCAGTGCCAATTTAGCAGCCACATAAGCCAAGGGATAACCAGTGGCTTTGCTTGCCAGAGCAGAACTCCTCGACAATCTTGCATTGACTTCGATGATATAATACTCCTCGGAGAAGGGATTCAATGCGTACTGTATGTTGCACTCCCCCACAATACCAAAGTGCCTGATAACCTTGAGTGCCACTGTCCTCAGGACATTGTACTCCCTGTTGGAGAGGGTCTGACTAGGGGCCACGACGATGGATTCCCCAGTGTGAATTCCAAGTGGATCGACGTTCTCCATGTTGCAGACTGTGATGCAGTTGTCATACGCGTCCCTCACAACTTCGTACTCAACTTCCTTCCATCCCTTGAGGGATTTGTCGATGATCAGTTGGCTGGAGTGAGCGAGCGCCTGCTGGGCCAGTGCTTTGAGCTCCTCCTTCGTGTTCGCAAAGCCGGAGCCCAAACCCCCCAGTGAGAACGCCGCCCTTGCCATCACCGGGTAGCCAAGCTTCTCCGCAGCCTCTAGGGCATCTTGAATGGAGTATACAGCAGCGCTGGGGGCGACCTTCTCCCCGATCTCACTGATGTGATCTGAGAATATTTTCCTGTCCTCAGTATCAATAATCGATTTGATTGGAGTCCCCAGGATCTTGATTCCGTACTTGGAGAAGACCCCTGACCTCTCGAGCTCGACTCCACAATTCAGTGCAGTCTGTCCGCCAAATGTCAGAAGAACCCCATCAGGTCGCTCGGACATAATCACCTGCTCCACATACTGCGGTATAATCGGCAGAAAGTAAATTTTGTCTGACATTCCCTTGGACGTTTGGACTGTTGCAATATTGGGATTAATGAGAACAGTTTGGATGTGTTCCTCCTTGAGAGCTTTAATTGCCTGTGACCCGGAATAATCAAATTCCCCTGCCTGACCGATAGAGAGACCCCCAGACCCCAGGATCAGAACTTTCCTCGGTCTGGTGATGCCATCCCCAGGTAGTGGAGTGTACTGCAGCCTCCGAGTGAGGATTTCCTTGAGGTTTTGAGTTTTCCCGGCTGCTGTCTGCTTGCAGCTCTCTAGAAATACATCGAAGAGGCATTCAAGGTCCTGAGGGCCCGCAGTGTGCTCTGGATGGAACTGCACGGAGAAGTGAGGGTTGACCTGGTGGACGATTCCCTCATTGGAGCCGTCATTGGCATTGGTGAAGAGGACCTCCCACCCGGTGGGTAGTTGATCTACATCAATGGCAAATCCGTGATTTTGAGAAGTCATGAAACAACGTTTTGTGTCCCTGTGGATGACGGGCTGATTGTGCCCTCTATTCCCATAAGCCATTTTGTAGCTTCTGCAGCCAGCGGCTAGTGATAAGAGCTGGTGCCCCAGGCAGATACCAAAAATTGGAGTGGTAGGACGCGTCGACAGGATTTTTTTCAGGTTGTCAATGGTTTTCAGGCACATGCTGGGGTTGCCTGGGCCATTACTGAGGAAGAGGCCGTCGAAAGGGAAAGACAGGTCATCGTCCCAGGGGACGATTGTCACACTGGCACCTCGAGACAGTAGACAACGTACCTGATTGTTCTTAAGTCCGCAATCTACGACGCAGATATTTGGACAGATTTTTGGTTTGCTGGATGGGTTGTAGGTCCTGCGAGAGGTGGAAGAGACTTCGGCAACTAGATTTCGGGTATTGGGATCGACTATCAGAAGCGAGATTTCATCACCTGAAGGCTGTTGGTAGATTATTCTGCCCAGGACACTGCCTTTCTCTCTGATTATCTTGGTTAGAGCACGAGTGTCCACCTCGTGAATTCCTGGGATTTTTTGCTCTTTCATCCAGGTGGAGAGGGTCTTCGTCTGCCTCCAGTGGCTTGGGGTGTCACAGATCTCTCCCACGATCAGTCCTGCTGTCCATATTCTTCGGGATTCGAACCAGTATGGCAGACCGTGCTCGTCCTTTTCGTCACCTGGCACTCCATAGTTGCCGATCAGGGGGTATGTCAGCACCAGGATTTGCCCGCGGTACGATGGATCAGTCAAGGACTCGGGATATCCAACCATGCCCGTTTGGAAAACTAAAAATCAGAATGAAATCACGAAGCAATGGACCAATGAAATAAATTAATTTTCAAATAAATAAAATAAATAATATAAATTAGTAATTAGAGTTGAGGAACATTGAGGACAATTAGTGAAAATTTTAATAAATTTAACAGCAGAATGAATTCGCTGAATAATTTTGTCAGATTAAGATTAAAGTTTTTTCGTCAGAAAGCACCAGATGACGGACACTAAAATGGAGCACGACCACGTGTTGAGCCCAAGCTCCAAAAATTCCACATCAATAATAAATAAATGACTTGCCCACTTCTCCATCAACTGGAGCAATCGCCCCAAAACTCCGTCCGGGTAAAATACTACCATCATTGAGAAGTAAATAACAATTGCTCTTTTCTTCAGTACACATGGCTATTTCCACATGCACGTGTTTATCGCCGGAATTTTGCCGGAACGACAATCACTACTGTATATCAAAGAGGATTGACTAAAGTAGAGACTCAGTTCTGGGAGTTTGAGTGACCCCGCGAAATCGTAGTACCTCATCCCAGGAGGTAGAGGGCGCCACACGCAATGCTGGGGTTTTTGCCCGTCAGCCGACTTGGTAATTGCCTCAGTAGTAGTCCCTCTGTCAGAGGGACCAGTCGATGGGGTGAATGTTATTTTCTGCGTTACGAAATTGGTATGCTCCTCATGCTCACCTGGTATTTTTTTGAAAATTTCGAATTTTTAAATTGCAGTGAATACCTTCTCGATCCTCATGCTCCCCTGATA